TCTTAAGATTTCGCAAGAGCTCGCGCGGAAGTTTTTTTAGCACATCAGTGTTAGGACATTTTTTTTGTTTTTGCATGTTTTTTTGGAAGCTCGATGGCGAAATCCTTCCGGTACTGCAGGTTTTCGAATGATTTCGGCATGCGCGCGCGACGACGCGCGCGTGTGCACTTCGTTCCCTTTTTGCAAGGGATTCGTGACAGAGTGTTATGTTAGAACAGCAAATGTCACCGCATTGTATTTTTAACAACGGAGCCTCAGAGGGGGAGGAACCCGGCAGGCCTGGGACATTGCGATTTCATATTTAGGATGGACATGTGGTCATAATCGTATGTGATTTACATACCCGAAAAGGGGTAGTGATAACGCCCGGGGGGGGTAGAGTCTATTTCGTTTTCAGAAAGGAGAACCTGAGTGGTGCAAGCTGTGTGGTGCGAGGATTATGGTGCGATCCACATTGTGCAATCGAGCTGGTGCATATGTTGTGCGATCCACGTTGTGCGATCTATTTTGTGCAATCCGCGTGGTGCAATCCATGTGGTGCAGTCTACGCGGTGCTTACACACGGATTGTCTTGCAAACATCCCACCCGCCTACCCGCAACTTGGTTTGCAAAACCCATGCGGCGGCGATTGAGATGATTGCTTGGCGTTGGCAGTGCGTCTTTGCGTCCGCGCCAACCCAAGCACGCGCGCGCAGCGACCAGCTAGTTTGGCGCGACCGACGCGGTCGCGGTGGCGCTGACCGCTGGGCACAGCCCACCGGGAGTGTCAGTGCGAGCCGGTGACGTGGGCGGGCGCGGTATCATGGTAACGTCGACAACGGTAACCACGAATATGATAGTAGCGATATTGGTGGTGATATTGGCAACGACGACGGCACAGCCAGTGACGGTGCCGATGTTGACCACGCCAGCGACGGTGACGGCGTCCCGGCGTCGGTGATGAAAGTGTTGGAAGGAGGTCGACAAACGCGCGCGGCCGACGCGTGAGAGTGGCCCGCATGATGTTATTCGGCACGGAACGTGCGCCCCTCCAGCACGCGCACGAGGGCGTGCGAATTTTTTCGATGCGATTTTACGATTTTTGAAAACGCATGCGCTCGCGCTCTTGTGTGGTTTTTCTTTGAAAAACAGGTTACGAACATGTTCCGTGAATTCTTCCAAACGGGCCCCTTCGCGCCGCATGCCGAGGGCATTCAAATGCCCTTGCGCGCGTGCTGGAGGCGGGGAGCACGACCCGTGCCAACTGGTGCCATGTGGGCCACTCTCACGCGTCGACCGCGCGCGCTGGTCGAACTTTCTCCAAAACCTTCATCACCGAGAGGACGCCGTCATCGTCGTCGGCGCGATCAGCATCGGCGCTGTCACTGGCCGTGCCGTCGTCGCTGTCAACATAGTCTCCAGCATCGCTACTTGTCGTCTGTTGCCGACGTTGCCGACGTTGCCGTGATACCGCGCCCGCCCAAGTCGCCGAATCACAGTGAAGTGCCCGCTGGGAGGTGCTCAGCGGTCAGCGCCACCGCGGCCGCGTCGGTCGCGCCACGCTAGCTGGCCGTCGCGCGCAAGCGCATGCGCGGGCCGGCGCGGCCGCAGAGATGCACCATCCAACTCCAAGCACTCATGGCGATCCCCGCCGCTCGTGTTTTGCAAGGCGGGTGAGTGGGTAGTAGGTTTGCGCGAGCAGTGGGGTTCACAACTGCGAGTTCCACAAATGAAGTGCACCACGTTGATGACACCACAAATATTCCACGATATGTCCTGCGAACCATAGATTGCCCCACGTTGATTATACTGCATGGGTTGCACCATAGGTATTGCACCACGTCGGCTGCATATGGCGTAAATGAAACGAATGCGAAACTATATCATTGCGCAGTGTAGACTACTGCACCAGGTCGACTGCGCCACATCGATCGCGCCACGTCGATTCTACAACATAGAGTGCGCGAAAAACATCAGTTGTAGCCCGCGTTGGCTAACATGATGAAGCGATGGGGAACTCGAATTTCGATATCCAGGGTGAAATTCGCTGGGGGTTGGAATCCTTCCCCTTGAAATTGGGGCGGCGAGGTGAGAATGGGTTCGACCCCCCCGCCGCAACGTCGCTGGCAAACGACCACGACTAGTACCACAGCGTCGACGACACCCAGCGTTGGCAAACGGCGACGACGAGGGCTGGGTCGACCAATTCGACGAGGACGACCACGACGACGACGACGACGACGTGTCCCGCCCGCCCGAACGACAGACCCGCCAACGACGACTACGGCGACGACCGCGACGAGGGCGACCGCGACGATGAGGAGGACGGTGGCGTGCCCCACCCGGTCCGACGGACTTGCCAGCGACGACGTGCCCCGCCCGCTCGGCTGG